CCTGTGATCCTTTGAATAAATCAGCACTGTTTTGAAGTTACTTGGACTGTCTCGTCTCTCAGAGTCAGTATGGTAAAAAGTATGGGGTACAACACCAGTCAGAAACTGTCAACCTCACACCATAGAAGTGCCCATTAAATAGAAACTTTGATATTTCGTTAGCTTGATCCTCACACAAGATCAGACTGCCTTGTGAAGCATATAATAATAAAAATAACAACAACAACAACAACAACGACAATAATAATAATAATAATAATAATTATTATTATTATTATTATTATAGTTTATACCTTGCCATTCATTTTGTCATAACACAATTTCCTATTCCATAACGAATTTGGACTGAACGTATTATTAATGATACGTCATTTTGCATCATCATTTACTGGACCTAATGTTAAACAACCTGGTATAAAAAGGATAGTTAAAATTGATTTGGGTCTTTTTATATATCATCTATTGACTTTATTAGCTTGAAATGAAAACAATTCTAAAATGTTTAAGAATGAGGCAAAGCTTGGATTTGGTTCACGGTACATTTTTGGGGGAAAATTATTAGTTTTGTCATGTGCAGTCCTGGTTCGGTGTAGCTTGAAAGGTTGACCGTTAGATGGCACCAAAACGCCAAATTTCATCTTGCCTGCGGGAAATTAAACGGAAGAAGTACAGTTCTTTGTCGCTGTTTAATGACGTAGTAAACCGTAGTGACCGTGAGCTGTTTGACATGTAAAGAATAGGAAACGTGCTGAGAACAATATGTTGAATTTAGCCGCTTTAGTGCACAGCCTCAGATGCTCCTTACTGCATATAGAGAGCAGACTTCTGCAGGCCGCGGGATTAGACCGACACCTGGGTGAGTTTACTGTTTGGAGCTTAGGATGTTAACTAATTCCTGCTAATTATGTGTGCCTTAACCTCTGTGACTGGACACACAGAAACACACACCCACTCTCGTCTCTCAGTTACAGTTTGAGTTCATCCAAAGTTTTAAGCAGTGGTGGAAGAAGGACTCCGATCTTTTACATAATTAAAAGTAGCAATACCACAGTTTAAAAAACTCAGTTACAAGTAAAAGCCATGCATTCAAGTTCAAAGTGTTTATTTGTCATATGCACAGTTAGGAAACGTGTTTCCCTGTACAATTAAATTCTTACTTTGCTGTCCACATGAATGCCACAAGTGAAATACAAATGAAATATAAAGTAGATAAATAAGTAACACAAAATCTAAGGCACTTTAAGCAGCAACAAGTGCAGCAATATAATAAAAAAATATAAGACTATAATAACAGAATGTATGCTGCATGGGAGCAGCATGTGCAGCAGTCAGCAGTCATTGTGCAATTATGCATGTGCAAACTGAGAATGTAAACAGTACAACACATATTTCCTGGTAATAAACTCCTCAGCTGTTTAGGAGTCTGATGGCAGAGGGAAAGAAAGAGTTTTTCAGTCTGGAGGTC